CTGCTTTGCCGATGTTTCAGGACCCTGATGATGGAATCAAATGTCTGTAAATTCATACTAGACAGCCATCTTCATACTCGCTGACGTGAGAACATCAAATTCTATAAAAATATACTTATTTCTAAAAAAAATAATTAGGAAATAAATATTTTATTGATGAAGAGAATAATATCCGTGTTACTATGAGCAAATGAAAGGTAAACATTCAATGGCTTTAAAATAATCTGTCGTATACAAATCAATGTAACGAGCAAACCTAGATTAATCTGCCACCACTACTCCAGTTAAATCACCTATTGTGAAAATAAATTACATCCTAATGATCATAAACCTATCGAGCTATTCATTTTTCAACGTGGAGTTGTTAATTCTGTATTTTTTATGCGTCCGTAGACCACTCATAGCATAGTTCAATCTGGAGAATATTTCTGCTGGCTTACCGAATCATTTCTAACGCTGATGACTCCTTGGGCGGAGAAACAGTTGCTTCGCAAATCCGCTGCCTGCCTACACGTGACAACGCGAAGATACATCCATGTCCCGAAAGAGATTCGAAAACTCGATCACAGTTTTTGAGCGGCCAGAGCCGAAGACCATTTTGACCAAATTAATGATGCTAACTAATTCTGCAAAATACACGCCCCCCGAAATCAAACCTAAATTAACTCTTCAATCCTACAGTCCAATAACAGTGAGCTTCGAGTAGCTACCACGTATCCGACGGATGCACTACGCGCACAGAGAAGCTTACTTTATCCATCATTAGGGGGACGATCCCCCTCCGAAACGTCGGTATCTACCGGACTACATGGTGCAACATCCCAAAAGTCAGATATCTTCATTCCTTCGATGAATATTTAACTGAAATTAAAATACCAAAAGCATGAGAATGCTAAACCAGATTTTTTTTTTAATAAAAGCATGTGAAGATATTCCGCGTTCAGAAACCTCACATCCTCCACAAACTGGTCAGCATTAAAACTAAGAAGGTTAGTAGTAAAAAATACAGCGAAGAAGCAATAACCATGAAGACAAATGCTCTTTTAGAAGAAAGAAATGGGATGAAAATTTTAATCTCATCGCCGCGGACAACTTTTGTTGTCCTAATCACGTAGGTCCAGATCTACACAGACCTGAAAGAGATGTAATTCTTAACAGGGCTCAGGACTCTGAAATTGTACGAATTACAGAACAAAGCATAATCGGTTGGTCGTAATTTTCTTCTATCTGTGCAGTAAAATAAATCTTTTGAACTGAGGTACATTTCTCTATTAATTTACGTATTGTTAAACCAGTTAAAGCTTTAAACTTTTAATAATCTCAGAAACAACAATAGTTCTACTGCAATACTTATCTCCCACTTGTCTTTGACTAACTAACTAACTAGATGGCTTACCGAACCCGAAGGTTCATCACCGAATTAACCAAAGCCCTCCACCGGACCCTGTCCTGGGCCAACAAAATCCAGTCTCCTCCAACTCCTATCTCCCATAGATCCCGCCTGACATTATCCCCCCATCTACGTCTAGGTCTCCCCAGAGGTCTCTTCCCCTCAGGCTTCCCAAATAGTGGACCCAACCAACCAGATGGCTTACGGAACCCGAAGGTTCATCACCGAATTAACCAAAGCCCTCCACCGGACCCTGTCCTGGGCCAACAAAATCCAGTTTCCTTCAACTCCTATCTCCCATAGATCCCGCCTGAGATTATCCTCCCATCTACGTCTAGGTCTCCCCAGCGGTCTCTTCCCTTCAGGTTTCCCAACCAGTACCCGGTGCACACCTCTTGTCCCATCCATGCGCGCTACATGTCCCGCCCATCTCACTCTTCTCGACTTAATCACCCTCACAATACTGGGGGAGGAGTACAGATTTTTAAGCTCGTCATTATGCAGTTTTCTCCACGCCCCATCGTCTTCCCTCTTAGGCCCAAATATCCTCCTCAACATCCGATTCTCAAACACACACAACTTAAATCTGTCATGGCGACTGAATGCAGTAAATTATTCTCGGGCGAATAAACATGTCAGCATGGGGTTAACTGCTATAACCCTTAATTCGCAATATTAACTATATATCCCACCTGCTTCAACGATCAATAATTCTTAATTTTTGTCCTTATGAGTTTCGTATGATTCTCACTAAACAGGGATCATTTCCTTAAAAATAATTTACCAGTTATGGTCTTTTTGTGGTACCAACTAAATTCTTAAGACGAGTTTCGGCTTCAAAGGAGTTCTGAGACTGCTTTAATATTAGTTCAAGAATCCAGGACGCGATTTAGCATGAAGAACACCTTTCGA